GTCCTTTATAGTAACCATTTGCCAATCTCTGGTCTGTGTGGTTGCTATATGGACTAGAAATTATTTAACATAGTGCTTGGTACACAGTAGCTGTTTCTTTAGATCATTATTCAAGTAAGGAGGGAAAGGTTAAGGTCATACAAATGTGTATGACAGAAACACACAGAAAATGTCTCAACTGCCAAATCCTGTTGATCAGTGAATCCTTAATCATCTGAGAAGAAGCTCTTGCCCAAAGTGCTCTTGCTTCATGTAGTTGACAGCAAAGATTTTAACCTGTTCTTTACTCGTATGGGAAAATGATGCAGGATAAATGCAAATTAAATGGGCACTGAGATACCATTTCTCACCTATCAGACTGGCAAAAATCTCAAGTTTGACAGCATGTTCTGTTGATGAGGCACTGGGGAAATAATCACTCTCCTGCATTGCTAGTGGGAGTGCAAACTGTCAAAAGTCGAGAGAGTGCAACTTGGCAAAATTAGCAAAATTCCGTATAAATTTACCCTTTGATTGTCCTTGGGAATCTAATCCCTAAAATAATCTGGCAAAAGCACAAGTGTGCACAAGGTTATTCATTACAGAGTTCTTTTGGAAGAGCAAAAGACTGGAAATAGCCTGAAGGTCCACCCACAGAGTACTGGCAAAGAAGGAGTTGAAGCAAGTTGCTTGTGATCCATTTTCCCCTGAATACCAAGGAGATACTGGGGTTGAGGGAAGTAGGTAAGTGACCTGGTTTAGGTTCTGTGTAAACATATTAACTAGATCACCGGGCAAACAGATTAATTAATTAGTTTTTCTTTCGCTAGGAAGAGAGTCCTCATCAATGGAATGTGTCGAGCAGGAAAGCCCTGGTTCAAGATGTTACAATAAACAAATCTTCAATCCATAGATGGATGAGTTATGACTCTTTGGAGAAGGTCACATTTCTTAGGCATAAAACTAGACATGTTGCAAAATCAAATGCCTCCTCCTACATGAGGGACTTGCAAATCTCATTAGAAACCTCCACTATCACTCTGGGTCAAAGGGGATAGAGCCGGTATGAAAAAGGACCTGAGGAGTCACATGGGCTATCCTGGATTTCTCCTTACATTACCAGTGTCCTTTGGTCATTTGAATCCCTGAAATGATTAGTAAAGCTTGATACTGGATAAGATCCCAGTCTCATCCTTTGTGCTGGCTCATCCACACAAAGGAGTGCCACCGGCAGGTTCATGGAGTGATGAATACCTATCGACACTGATGGGGAATGATCTCCACAATATACTCTCAAAGTGTAGAATAATGGGTATAATATGCCACTCTTCGTGCAAGATAGGGCAAGGATACAGATACACACGAGGACTGGCTTGCACGTGTGAAAATAAGCACCAAAAGGTTAAACCAAAAGCTAATAAACATGGTAATTGTAGAACGAGGAAGGCGTGGGGCACAGGGGAAGAAGATGCATGTGACATTTCTCTGAAAACACGTTATACATATAAAAACAATGTAAGTGGGGCGCCTGGGTGGCGCAGTCGGTTAAGCATCCGACTT